TTAAATCGCCGTCACGCATGAATTATATTTTTGCAATTTTACACATAATAATCCACGATGATCACATTACACAAAACTGAAATTGCACGTCAAAATAATACATTGTCAATATTTTTTGAGACACCCCAAAATTTCACAAATCACATTTTCAGGGGAGCCCATGTCTTATTAAGGGGAGCCGAGCTCCCCCTAGCTCCCCCGTAGTTCGCACCCTGGCTTTGGAGTTTAGCCAGCTCACCGTTTTAACGGCGTTCAACGACGTTGTGCTGAACTCCCTGTTCTGGATCGGGCCAACTACTACCGCCCTGTCGATCTCCCAGACACCACCAGACTGTGCTGGAGGGAGGCTATCATCTGGTGTCTGGAGAGCGTCTACCCCCGATCCAGAACACAGCCAGACCCAGAGCCCAGCCCACCATCACCCCACTGTGCGGAGCTTAAGCCCGAGCCCACCGCTGATGGAGAGCCAGAACACACCGCGACCGACGAGCCAACGCCAGAGAGAGCGACAATGCTGAGGATCGCCCCGGAGCCCGAGCCTGTGATGAGCCTGTGACGTCCACATCTTTCATGTGGGCTACAGAGCTCGCCATGGGGGAGAGCATCATGGACAGTGAGAGTGCGGAGAGGAGCTCCGCCCCCTGCACCGTGGCTGAGGGTGAGCTGTCTAAGGATCTGGGTAAAGGAAAAGTGGAAAGAGACTTAATTGATTTGTATACCGACCTGCCCCCTTTCCTCCCTCTTCTGTCAGTGACCTCTGTCCCTCCCGTTCCTGTTTCCATGTCCAGGGCTCCTGTTCCCAAATTAAGCCCGGAGGCTCACAAATGCCCGCCCAACTCCCCACCCACCCACTCCTACCTCCTCCACTGCTGTCCCTCTGCTCACCCTCAGCCCACCATCTGTATGGTGCGAGCTCCGCGTGTCTGCCATCCTCCATCATCACCGTGGCTGCAGAATCCCTGGCGTCCGCCTCCAGCCTCTAAGCCCCGGATGCCGCATCGGCCCGTCGACCCAGCGGCTCCACCATGACTCCTAGCTCCCTCCTCTCCACCATGGCCCATCAGTCCACTGGCTCCACCATCCTCGTCCCTCCTTCTTGGCTCCTCCCTCTGTCATCACCTCCATGGACTCTTGTCTGCCGGCCCCCATCCGGGTGTCCGTCCTCCCTTCTGAGCCTCCTCCCAGTTCCCACCCGTCCCTCCCTCTGTTGATTCTACGGCGCGAGGCCTTCCAGGAGGGGTGCGAAATGTCAGGATTGGACTGTCTTTGTGTTTTGCTCCCCCATGTGCTCTCCGTGACCCAGTTTCTCCCTCATGTGCCCTTATTTGGTCGTTCCTGTCCTTGTTGTCTCTTAATTAGTCATTCTGTTCACTTGTGCTCCTCCCAATTCCCTCGTTATCCTGTGTATTTAAGCCCCAGTCTGTTTAGTCTGTGTTTGTCGGGTCTATCAGTGTGTCATCTTCCCTTCCTGGTGTGTATTTACCCCTGTCTGGATTTAATAAAAGACTGTTTTTGCTATTCTATGTCTCCATCGTTCCTTCCGGTAGCGTATCGTGACAGAAATATATTCAAGTCATCCTGCAGCTCCCTTGGAAGTCTGCTGAGGTCCCCTAGTTAAGAACACTAGGGGGTTTAGTGCTACTGCTGGTGCAGAAATCACACACTTTACACACCTTTAAGGTAATCGGAAAATTGTGGCACAAATAGAATTTTGGCAACAACATTTTTTTTTTAAATCACAGTGTTTATATTTTATATGGCACACAATCTTAAAAGTACTTATTTTTTTTACAATTGGTAGATTAGAGTTTTGACTGTGAAATTTTGTTTAAAATGTCTTTGATTTAGTCATGTCGAGGAAATGTCTCACTTTAGTGAACCGAAGGACTGCTGAAGGAGGGCACTTTTGTTTTTTATGACTATCAGTTGATCATTGCTGTTTAATTATGTCAGGTGGATTTTGGAGTAGATAACATGCTGTTATCTTCCAGTGAAAGGGCTAGAAAGGATATCAGAAAGATAAGTCCTATTCCAGCATGCACGGCTACTGTTCAAATATTGTAATGTTCTTTTATCTTTCAAAATATTTAATCTTCTGCCAAACTGATGCAGAAGAACAGTAAAAGAAAGCATGAAAAACATTTTTGATAACCGTCTATGTGGCATATTTCTGTGTGTCTATAACTACAGGTGCACTTACTCTTCAAACAGATAAAGCCAATGATGAAATAAGGGGTGGGGGTAGAGGAGAGGCTCATGGCAATAATAATAGCCCAAAGGGATTAAAAGATCACATGAGTCAAGAGGTGTGTTAAACACCATATAATGCAGAAATGATTAGGCTAGATATACCTCATGCAGCACTCAAGACATAAATGAGAGCAGTTATATGATATTCAGGACGGGGTCATTCGATGGTCTGCAATGTCTTTTGAATGGATTTACACAAATATGCAAATGACAGCTATCTGAAATGAATATATACAATATATATATATATATATATATATATATATATATATATATATTCATACTGATTCATACTTTCAGTCATTTTTAAGTTTTAAGGTGGAATGTTTTGAAGTGACACTATCAGCAAACAACACAAAACATCACAAAATTCATAAATTATTTTGCTGAGACTTACTAATGATTAAGTACTGTTGTTTTTCCTCAAAAATGTTGTTACTTACTGGAAGATGATATGAAGAAACTGGATTTTGAAAAAGCAGGAAGGATAGGCATGTTAAAGGGAAAAAATAGAAATTGATACATTTAATAAAATATTTTTTTTTCTAATAAATTATTTTCTAACTTAAGAATGAGGCTAAGGATACTTTGTATTCGCTAAAACATTTCTTAATAATGCTCTTATCTTTTTCTTAAGCTTGTTCTAAAGACAAAACATTGTTCTAAAAGACATCGAAATAATTAAAATTCTTGAAAAGAATGTTCTAAAAAAAATCTATGTAAATAATGTCTTAAAGTTAGAATAACCTGCAACTTGTCTTAAATCCCCAAAGGTAAGATGTTAAATGAATTCACTGTTGTTTTAAATAGTAAGCATTATATCATTAACGCCACAGCATATCCACAGGAGACAGTTGAAAAGCGTACACAGGACTATGTGGACAGTCTTTCTGGATCAAGTTTTCACTGTCTCCCTCCTGTTAAAGCAGAACCTGACTCCCGTGATCACAAACAGTTCACGACAATGCCTGCACTGCCCACCATGACTGCCACAAGCTATGTCCTACAAGACGCTGACAGATTGACCCGCATATCTACTCCCAAACTATACCAAATTCACACCCTTTAGATGGCAGTCTGTCAGTCCTACTCCCTACGCTCATTGAGTGCAACTGCATGCCCGAGGACAGGTCGGAAATACCCACTCCCGAAGCAGCAAAACACCACCCTCATCTCAAATCTATTGCTCATCTCATCCCTCCTCTAGATCCAAATGCTCAAATACTTCTCCTTCTCGGACGTGATATCCTTCGAGTCCATAAGGTAAGAGAGCAACGCAATGGGCCACAAAATGCTCCCTATGCTCAAAGAGTGGACCTAGGCTGGGTTGTGGTCGGCGAGGTCTGTGTTGGTGCTGCTCACAAGCCCTCAACTGTGAGTGTTTACCGCACAAACATTCTAGAAGATGGGCGTCCGTCCTGCTTTAGCCCATGTCCCAATAAGCTCTACCTCAAGGAGAAACTAACTGCACATCCAAGCGTTAAACCCTCTCTGTTTTCTCAGCTTGCTCCCAGCCCATCAGCCACCTCAATCTTCGAAAGAACAAAAGATGATGAAAAGATAGCCCCCTCAGTTGAGGATAGGCAGTTCGTTCAGTTAATGGACAAAGAAATGTTCATGGATGACACTAATAGCTGGGTAGCACCCCTCCCCTTTCATTCACCCAGGCAACGCCTTCCAAACAACAGAGAGCAAGCTCTGAGTCGTTTCAATTCTCTCTGTCGCACTCTACGTAAGAAATCCGAGATGAGAGAGAATTTTGTGGAGTTTATGCAGAGGATCTTTGATAACAACCATGCTGAGCCAGCTCCTCCTGTGAACCCAGAGGAGGAGTGCTGGTACTTACCCTCCTTCGGTGTGTATCACCCACGCAAGCCTGGTCAAATTCGCGTAGTGTTTGACTCCAGTGCCCAGTCCCATGGTGTGTCTTTGAATGATGTGCTGCAAACGGGCCCCGATCTAAACAACAGTCTAGTAGGAGTCCTTCTACGATTTAGACACGAACCAATAGCCATCACTGCGGACATAGAGCAAATGTTCCACAGTTTCATTGTCAGGGAAGATCATAGGAACTTTCTCCGCTTTCTGTGGTTCAAGAACAATGATATGTCTGAAAGCATGGTAGAATATCGTATGAAAGTTCACGTCTTCGGCAACAGCCCCTCTCCAGCCGTTGCCATTTACGGCCTCAGACGTGCTGCCTTATTCGGTGAAGCGGAGTTTGAATGTGTACAGAGGGAGGCTTATAAAGCAGAAATTGTTTATCTGGAGAATGAAAAGGCCATTCCCAAGCAGAGTTCCTTTAAGAGGCTGGACCCGGTCCTGCAGGACGGACTCTTAAGAATTGGAGGCAGACTAGAACAGTCCACACTCCTCAGCAATGAAAAACACCCTCTTGTTATACCCGGCCATATTTACATAGCAACCCTCCTAACAAATCATTACCACGACAAAGTAAATCATCAAGGCCGAGTCTTTACAGAAGGAGCAATCCGTGCTGGAGGATTCTGGATAGTAGGAGCAAAGAGATGCATCAGTGGCATCCTTCGCAAGTGCATCACTTGCCGCAAACAGAGAGGTAAAACAGCTGAACAGAAAATGGCAGACCTTCCTCCTGACCGCATCAGCATGGAGCCACCCTTTACTAATGTCGGTTTAGATGTGTTCGGCCCTTGGAATGTATCAGCACGCCGTACCCGTGGAGGCCATGCTTACAGCAAAAGATGGGCGGTAATTTTCACGTTTATCAGTGCGAGCCATCCATATCGAACTGATAGAGTCAATGGACACATCAAGCTTCATTAATGCACTTCGCCGGTTCTTTGCCATTCGAGGCCCGGCAAAGATTATATGATCTGACTGTGGTACTAATTTCATAGGAGCATGCAGAGAGCTGAACATGCTTGTGGTCTCTTCCAAAGATCCCAGTGTGACAAAATACCTTAGTGATGAAGGTTGCAAATGGATCTTTAACCCACCTCATTCGTCTCACATGGGGGGAGCATGGGAGAGAATGATCGGACTTTCGAGACGGATTTTGGACTCCATGCTTCCTCAAATCAGCTCCTCGCATCTGACTCACGAAATGCTATCAACTCTAATGGCTGAAGTATGTGCTATTATCAACGCAAGACCTCTTGTATACATTTCTACTGACCCTGAGTCACCTCTTCTCCTCACCCCAGCAATGATCCTCTCACAAAAGGTGTGTACCTCATCCGCACCTACAGGGCCGTTTGAGAACGCTGATCTGTATCGAAAACAATGGAAAAGAGTGCAGTATCTTGCCAGCCTGTTTTGGGAAAGGTGGAGACGAGAATACCTTGCATCACTTCAGCCTCGTAAGAAATGGCAAGACAACAAACCTAATATCAAAGAAAGAGACCTGGTCCTTCTGAAAGACGATCAGGTAAAAAGGAACGAATGGCCAATGGCTCTGGTCACCAAAGCTATCGCAGACTCAGATGGCAAAGTCAGAAAACTGGAACTGAAAGTCACTAAGAGTGGTACTGCTAAAACCTTCTTACGACCTATTACAGAGGTTATCTTGCTTATGTCTTAAATTACCCAGTGAACGTATATTCACTAGTTGAGAAATTAAGAGTGGTATTGTACTTAATACGAGACAGGGAGTATTATGCCATGTCTAACATTACTTCTTTCTCCCCACCGGAGGGCGCTGTTTGACATAGGTTGAGTTAAAATCTAGTTTGACAACTTTATTTGTTATACTTCATATCGCTGTATGTTGTTTGTTAGTTTTTAAGTAAGCATTTATTGTATTTATTTTGCAGTTTCACAAAAGAATGTAACAGAGATTGAACTACATGATTGCACTCAAGCAAAAGTAAAGAGAAAATTTATTCAATCATCTGAGTGGTCATTGAAGCTGATCAGTCATCTCCTTGCAATGTTTGGCTATCTGTATATGCATGCTCAACACACATGCATGCAGAGGACAGAATACATTATGATTATTATGGTAATCTGCAGCCTGCAGAGGAACTTTGAGGTGTCTGTCATGATCAGCGAGACTTCTGCAAGACCCACAAACACAAACACCAAAACTTTTTTATTCTTAAGAAAATATTTGAAAGGAATTAGGAACATTCTTAAAAACGTCTTACAATAATAACAATATAAAAAAATTAACTCACAATACTAAAAAAATCTATACTAAAAAAGTCATGGAAAACAAATACATGTTAATATGAGATTTAAGGATTAGGATGGATTAAGTGTGCAAGTTTAAAGCAACCAAAGGAAATCTCAAATGACACAATAAAAAAACGATGCATCCGCAAACATTTGCACTACATCCTGAGGGAGTAACTGGTGACAGAAGTACACATGAGCTATTGGAATAGGAAATCGGATGCTCCATTAGCAGCGGATTTATTCAATCAGATAGCTCACCTCTTAATTAAAGGAACTAATTATGCTAGCGAAAGACTTCTTGGCTGGTGGCTCCAAAAGTGGGTTGGCTGGCATGCCATCCCCCTCTTACCTCGCTGAAGGTGATGACCTTGTGATAACCCTTGTGTTCATCAGTCAAATTACTGTCCCCAGTAATGGTAGTGCCAAAGCACTGGAACACTGGGGCCAACTAATCTGTATTCAAATTACATGCCACCAAACAGTAAGGTGGGCCGTGCAGCCATAACTCAGCCGCTGTGTATGCTGGGGAGGGAGCTCCACAATGGCCACAGCCCCCTCCCTGCCAATCAGATATTATCATACATTTCCCAGGTGTATGACAGGCCTTCTGAGGAGCAAATGATATTGGGAAAATTCATCATAAGTCTCCCTCGCAGCCGTAATGGTCAATTTAAATTAATTAAAAGTGAATGGCTGCATGGGACAGGTCAGTCTGTGCAGCACTCCTGCACTGAGGTAAAGCCACACAAAGAAACTGCTTAAATTATTAGAATATAGTTTATTTAGACTGGTGCTTGCAAACAGTGTTTATGGTGTAATATTGTTTAAGGGCCTGTGTTTGGGGTCACTATTTTGGAGTAGGCCTAATATCTTCATCGTAATGCTTAACTATTTAAATGTGCATTAACTTATGTAAACCTTTAATGAATAGTAATATATTTAATATATATTTATATTAATTGTCTGTTCTACTATTCTGCGATTACTATTTAGCCAGAATTAAAGTAAAATGAATTTCTTTTCTGATCAGAAAAGGTTTCATTTACATTTGCTGCCACATTTTCATCTACATGAGGCTCAAGCAAACAACGAGAAACCAAGCTAAAACAAACCTCATTAACAAAAAATAATATAGTCGTAAATACATTTCTATAAACAGCGTGTAAACTTACGAATGTCCGTATTTCTTATTCCATTTCTCGATTATTCATATCCTTTTTTTTCCGTTAATGAACACTAAATATAAACACTTTAAAGAGTGAACAAGAGGACGGGTGTATTAAACAACCTGCGTTTACTACTATTATTTTAATGATCCACCCCCCTGATGCTCTTACAACTGACGTATTTAATTCATGATGTTTTGTCACCACCTTTCGGTTATATGAGATATAACTGCACGTCTTAAAGCTCTAGGATAAAAATGGTAGACTGTCACTGAACTTGAAATTCATTTTAACAAATGAATGAACATTTTAACTTTATATATGTTATCAGACATCCGTGACATTCTATGGTGATTGCCTGCTCTTTTAACCATTTTATAATCCCCCATTCCTCAAACACATCATAAACAACTTTACATTTCACAGTTAAATAATGAACCGACTCTATTACAACGTTCACTGCCTGGCCAAAAAAGTGGCCATTTGGATATAAATACTCAAATACTGAAGAGTTTAAGATTGGATCATTATTGCAGAGGTTAACATGTTTCTGGCATTTTATATGTTTTGCAAAAATTATTTTAACCCTAAATGATGCAGTGTGTAGCTTTTTACTTCTCAAACAACCATGTTGGAAGACATAAAAATGCTGGGTTAAATACAACCCAGTGCTGGGTGAAATATGGACAAACCCAGCAACTGGGTTGTTTTGACCCAGCGGTTGGGTTAAATGCTGGGTCAAAACAACCCAATTGCTGGGTTTGTCCATATTTCACCCAGCACTGGGTTGTATTTAACCCAGCATTTTTTTAGTTTATACAAGTACATATTCCAGGATGACATGCCAAGATTCACCCATCTCAATTTGTGAAACAGTGGTTCAGTGAACATGAGGAATCTTTTTATTGTATGAATTGGCCACCACAGAGTCCTGAGCTTAACTCTATTAAAAGTCTTTAGGATGTGCTGGAGACAACTTTACAGGGTGGTTTGACTCTCCCATTGTCAATACAAGATCGTGGCCAAAAATGAATGCATCTCTTGATGGAAATAAATGCTGTGATGTTGCATGTTGATGATGTCAAAATGCCACAATGAATGCATAATATAATCAAAGATAAAGTCAAAGTTTTTTTTTGTTTGTTTGTTTTTTTACACTGCAGTTATTTTCTGTCCTTGATATAATAGACAATGTGTATCATGCATTTAGTACACATGACATAATAAATAAATCTGTAGTTAAAGTCTCTATCAAACACCACAATTACTTTGGCAATGAAGAAAATTTTACAAATAGATAAATATATGAATAATTTTACCATTTTCACAGTTTCTTCAGAAAGGCATCAACAGTGACATTGTTTATCTGATGATAAACCGTTTTTCACAGAAAATACGAATGCTACACATGTAGGAAGTGTTGATCTTCATATACTACAGGATTCCTTCAACTTATTGCTGTCTGGCAAGAAACCTGAACTGTTTGATTGGCCATCCAATTACATCCTCATAACAAATTTAACAACATATATCTGAATGAATAACTGATCTGTAGGTGGGCCAGTAAACACAACCTTGATCAAGTGACCAGAGCAATTATGTCTCAGATTTAGTGAAACAATGCAGCACTGGGAGTTTCCCAGTGTATCCGCAGGTCCAGCCATTCCTGCTGAGCCACGGCCAAGTAGGATTCGGGTGGGGAGGAGGACAGCAGCTCAGGTCACTGAGCTCTCAGCTTGTGTCAGGGCCTGCTGGCACGCTGCCTGTATGTCCATACTCTCCAGATTATTAAGACTCCCTGCTGCCTGATCCATGACCTGTGCACTGCTTGGACCTGAGGAAACACGACACACAGGTATTAACATAAAGCTGCTGATGTCTGTTCACACAAAGCGAAGACTCATTTGACTCAAGTTTTATTTTTATGTGAAGTGGGTAACCTGTCACATAAGTTGAATACTACTCACTTTTTATCCTGCTAAGCCTGCTATTGTTAGACACCTTGCCTCAAAGCAAAAGTTAATCCTGGCTGATGGCAAAGAACACATTGCTACAATGCTGTTTGTTACTGAAACCTTTGCTTTCGGGTTGATGCAACAATCATACCACTAGGTGTCAGTATACAGTAAATCCAGCATTATATTGCCCAGTGCAATAAATGACAGAGAGCACCTTGAGGTAAGATGACTCAGTTTATTAGACTATTAACCAGTCTATTGACCAATGTTGTATATTAACTCTATTTAAACTTTTCTAAAACTAAACATAAAATCAAGATGTACAGGTGCATCTCAATAAATTAGAATGTCATGGGAAAAGTTCATTTATTTCAGTAATTCAACTCAAATTGTGAAACTCGTATATTAAATAAATTCAATGCACACAGACTGAAGTAGTTTAAGTCTTTTGTTCTTTTAATTGTGATGATTTTGGCTCACATTTAACAAAACCCCACCAATTCACTATCTCAACAAATTAGAATACTTCATAAGACCAATAAAAAAACATTTTTAGTGAATTGTTGGCCTTCTGGAAAGAATGTTAATTTACTGTACATGTACTCAATACTTGGTAGGGGCTCCTTTTGCTTTAATTACTGCCTCAATTCGGCGTCGCATGGAGGTGATCAGTTTGTGGCACTGCTGAAGTGGTATGGAAGCCCAGGTTTCTTTGACAGTGGCCTTCAGCTCATCTGCATTTTTTGGTCTCTTGTTTCTCATTTTCCTCTTGACAATACCCCATAGATTCTCTATGGGGTTCAGGTCTGGTGAGTTTGCTGGCCAGTCAAGCACACCAACACCATGGTCATTTAACCAACTTTTGGTGCTTTTGGCAGTGTGGGCAGGTGCCAAATCCTGCTGGAAAATGAAAGCAGCATCT